AGTTAACCCCCCCCCATCCCCTCCTCTCCTCTCTCCTCTCCTCTCCATCATCCTCCTCCCTTCATCCTCCATCCCTTGTCATCATCCTCATTTCTCTTCTCTCTTTATTTGTAGCGCCAGGAGCGGTTGTTCGCGATTTACATTTAACTGGATCCATCAGGTTGTCTGTTATGCGTAAAATTAAGCAGTGTTACATCAGACAGTACAGTGGGTGCATGTGTGAGTGTATGTGCGTGTGTGTGTGTGTGGGAGGATGCAAGGAGTGTAGTGATGGTTTCAGGCCCTGAAATGTTTCCATGTTTGTGTCTTAGGGCCTCTAAATGTGTGTGTGTGTGTGTGTGTGTGTGTGTGTGTGTGAGAGGGGGGGGGGAGACAGGAGGACAATAGTGAGAGTGTATGTTAAACAGGATGATGGTGTTGCAGCAGATGAGGGTCATGCTCCGGGACTTAAGGGTCAAATCCTGTTAGAAGTAAGAGGGATCAAGGCTTTAGCAAGGCGCTGCCTTTTTTTTTTACTGCTGCAATATTCACTGACACTGTGCAAGAGGAGCCCCTGTGAGTGTGTGTGAGAGACATTCAGAGTGTGTGTGTGTGTGTGTGTGTGTGCAATAGCTTAAAACCGCTTAGTTTGATTTGGTGGAGCTCAGTTAAAACATGTAAGCAATGACACAGAGATAGAAGAGAGCAGAAAATGATTTATTATATCGGGAGGAACCCTTTGAGACGTGTCATCGTGTTTGGGTGAGATTAAAAAAAAAGTAGGAGAGGAACTCCTTAACAAACTGTTTTCCCCCTTTTGTTTCCCTTTAAGGTTAAAATCATTTTATTCCAGTCTGTCAGACAGCATTGTATATTTTCTGAATGAGCTTCTTACAGCTTGTCACAAGCTGAGATAAACATAAACCAAACACTCCTTGGTTTGTTTTTTTTTATCGCTGCACCATTCAATCAAATTGAAATGTTCGAGTTGTCTAGTTGCATCATTTTATACACATATCCCCCAGATTCAGACACATTTGGTGTCTTTGGGACATTGCCTAGACTTTAAAATAAAAGTTCAGTGGGTTTGAAGAAGGTTGCCAGAAATAACACGACTTTGTAGAGACATATGGCGCATTGTAGCACAAAATAAGTGTAATCATGTGATATTATCAGAAGGTTGAAAATCTGAAGAGGATCCATTTGGGATTTTACAGATGTTTCTTAATTCAATTTCTTAGTGTGCAGACTCTATTCAGCTTTGTTTGAGCTGCACAGTGGTAGGTATCTAATGTAATCTCTACTCATTTACAAACACTTGTATGGAAAGTCATTGTAATCCATTAAGTAATACAGATTAGTAAACGTATCAAGATCAAAATGGAAGTAAAAACAGTCTCATAAGTCTTCCATTCGACAAACTTAAGTATACAAGTTTGAGCAGCAAAAGTATCACAAGTAAAAATGGCCTGGTGATATATGAATGGCCCCTGTCACAGTGTTGTAGTAATATAATATTATAGGATTATTATGACTGATGAATAAAGCCACATGCTAATGTTGTGGCTCATCAAGGTGGAGCTGACCCTTACACAGTATACTGTTGGGTAATGTAAAATAAAATGGTCATAGGTATTTTGTATTGACAGATATAGAAATATTTCCCTCTCATCTTAAAAAATAAAGAAAATACTCAAGTAAAATGCATGTGTCTAAAACTGTACCTGAGTAAATATTACATTGGTGATTACATTTCATCACGATACATTCATTTGGCAGAAACATTTGTTGCGAAGCACACATTGGGGAACAATTTGGGGTTTCAGTGTCTTGCTCGAGGACACTTCATAATATGACCACAATGAAAGGACAGCATGCTCTAACATCTGAGATACAAACAGCCAGGTGATGATAAGATGAGAACGGGGAGTACTGACTTAAATCAAAATTAAATATTTGTTGAACTTGCGGATGAAGTGAAAATGTTGAAGTAAAAAGAAGGGGACCAAAGAAACTCACATAAAGAAACTCTGTGGCATGTGACATAAATGTTTGTATGTGTATGTTTGAGGATGTGTGGATATATGGGGAACGGTGAAAGACATCAGTGAACATAAGTATGTAATAATTGAATGTGATATAATTTCTGCCATATTGCTAAATTAAACCTCATATTTTGCCACATGTTGGTTTATTAGGCTGTTCCTCTCTGAATTTTGGCATTAGAAACACATATATCATCCAAAATAAAAAGCGCTTTGACAAATATGTATGATGCAAAACCCATTACGATTCAAACACTGGATTTGTTGTATTGCTGAATTTTCAAAGGCTCGAGCCGCTGTTGGAAACATAATTCTCATTCAAAAAAAGACCATTTTCCCTAATTTGGGTTAGCCAAATGGCAATTAGCAAAAGGTTCCTCAACTGTGAAGAGATGTGTAAAAAAGCATTGTCTGTAATAATTAAAATGATGTAGCAGCACAGTACGCACGCTGGCTGGCAAACTGAACGTAGTGATGTGACCGTCATGATGGATGTCAGAAAGGATCAAAAAAACAATACAAATATTTATACCTAAATGAGATTTTCTTTCTCCTTTCTGTCTCATAACTTATGAACCCCACATCAGCCGAATTGTCACTTAAGAGTCTCACAAGGGAAAACTATCAAGATGGCAAAGAGAGAACAAAAGTGGAGAGCAGAGACAGCAACGTCCCCTGCGGAGGAGGAGCTCATGAATGAAAAATTAAGTCAATAAAATGACAATAAAATGGACCTGAAGCAGTGTGAGTAAGAGTGGGAGTCCATGTGAGAGAATAAGGCTGTGTGTGTTTTGTTGTGTTACAGAATGAAAGCTAACGCCCTCTCATTTAATCCCAGAAGGTTATGGGACCAATTGTCTTCCTCACTTTCGTGTTTTTTTTGGTCCTTTTTCCCCTCCACTCTGGTCTCTCAGCCTCCCTGGTTCGTGCTGCTCTCCCGGGAGCTGTGGTTTCTGAAAGGTTTCTCAATGTCCTTAATCCCTCCATCTCTTTGTGTCCAGGCAAAAAATATATCCGCATGAAACTCAAGAGGCCGACAGGGGCCAAGATGTGTGAGAAAAAGAAGAGCTTCTTTCCAACCATTTGTGGGAATAGAAAAAAAAAGGGAGAGCAGTTTTTTTTTTTTTTTAAGAAGATAAAAACTAATTTAGCTTCTTTTTAAAGAGCAGCACAAAGCTCTATATAAGTGTTTATAAAACTGGAGTCCTTAAGGTTCAACAGAAAGAGGAATGGTTTGATTTCACTCATTTTAATAACTAGGAATTATCCCAATTAGGAGAGTGGATGACAGCTTTAATCATAGGTTTCAGTTACCAACATTATCTCCAAACCTGCATCCTCCATAGAGTTGTTGTGTCCACTTTAAAATGAACAGACATATCTGAATGCCATCACCTGCAGGGGTTGAGGAAAGATGGCGGATGGTGTTTTGGGGTACGTGTGACTTGGGGGAAGTTGAGGGTGTGAGGAAAGATTGTGGGGCAGCTCAACTAATAGGAATAGGAATTATGATTTTATTAAAAAATGTGTCCACATATTTGTGTTAAGAATTAAAATAAACAGCATAACATCGGTGTATGCTGATCTTTAATATCTAACAACCACTAAGCTTATAGCTATCAGCTGCAATGGTTGTAATAGCCTGCTAAGATTATAATCTAATTAATTAGTATACTTCTATAAACAGTTAGCTAAAAGTGGTAAATGGTTGAAATAATAAAGCTAGTTAAGAGTAATGGGTCAGTTGAAATAGACAGTTAAAACTTAAATATAAGTGGTTGAAGCAGTAAACAGTCAATATGAATAAAAAGCTGAAATATTTAGCTAAACTTAATGGATGAACAATTGATACAGTAGGCTAAAAGTAATGGATAACAAAATAAAACCGTTAAAAGTTATTTCATCCATGTATAATGGATACACGGATGACACAGTTAGCTAAAAGTAACAAAGGATAAGGAAAAGTAATCGATAAGCAATTGAAACTGTTAGCTAAAAATTGATAAATGGTTGAAACACCCTACTGAAAAATAATAAATACTGGTTGAAACACTTAGTAAAAGGTTAATAAATAGGCCTATATGGTTTGAATAGGTGATAGCCTAAAAGTAATAAATACAATGGATACTAAACAGTCACTTAAAGTAAATAAATACATGTTAAACGTTACCTAAACGTAATGGATAAATGGTTGTGGAGCTAAGCCTAATGGAACCACAAGGACAGCCAGAAGAGATAAATAGTAGTACAAATGCTAATTGGCTGCCCTTAACAAAATCACTTTGTGCTGGATAACATCCAGTTCAGAATGCATTCAAAATAACACTGAAAACACGAGGGTAGTGTGGATGGAGGAGCACTGGGGCTGTGGGGGTACATCCACATTCTTACTGTATCATTACATCACACAGGAAAGGTTGGGAAAACTCTGGTGTACACATCCAGCACAATGTGGTACAGGTGCAGGATAAAAGCAGCGTACAAAGCGAAGAAAAAGAGACCTGTTCCACACACTGAATATAACATGCTCCCAAAGTATTTATGATGCAACGAGTTAGACCTTCAGTATCTTGTCAGGCAGGTTTACCTCAAAACGTTTTAAGAATTACACGTTTTAACATTAATATTTGAGGTTCCCCTTACTTTAAGCCTTCACCTGGGACAGATTTATTTATTATCTCAAGTAAATAAAATGAACTTAAATGAACTGGGATTCACGGTATCATCGGCTTCAGTTTGTTGGCGAATAAAAATTAATTCATGTTAGCTGTTTTGTACATCATCATGTCTTTATTTGTGTGTAAACAAACTCTGAAAAGAGCATCAGCCAGGTTGTTGATTATTGGCATTAACATGATTGATTTATTTTGCAGTCATGGGTAAAACATGATCACTCCACTGCAAAACAAAGGTCTTCTTAAACAAGTCATTTCATCTTCAATTCTGTCCTACAATCTTTATTTTCTTTTTTTCTTGTTTCAACCAAAGTCTTAGAAATGAATGCAACTGTAACTTTAAACTGGCAGATTGTTGTATTGATTTCAAAAAAAAAGAAAAGAAACAATTGCCCTTGGTCCAGTCTTGAAGAAAGTGAAATATTGTTACTTCATAACAGACTTTTTTTTGTACAGTAAATAAGATTTTAGGACTTGATGAATGACTTATTTGTTAAAAGCCTTTTTTGCAGCGTGTATAATAAATAACATGACACTTCCACATGAACTGTCTGCGACCTCAGTTCAGTCTAGCAAGGTAACTTCATCTCATCTTACTTGGTGTAATGCAGTGTTTCTCACTACTGTATAAGGTGCTGGGTGTGTGTGTGTGTGTGTGTGTGTGTTTGCGTGCGAGAGAAAGAGAGAGAACTTGGTCACGATGTTTTTGTTTGTGTGCGAGTATGTTGATGTGTTATAAGATATTAGACACGGGTGTCCTGGAGGCTTATTGGGTTAGTAGTTCGTCAAATAATTAAATATGTAACAATAACAGGTGAAGAGTTGCAAAAATAACCTTCTTAAAAACAACAAATAAAACATCCGCAGCGCTCACAGCAGTAGTGTTAAGCTCGGAGTGCAACATAATTTGCTTAGTCACTTCCATTGTACACAAACGACAAATATATTTACAATTTGAAACAAAAATACATAATTCATAACAAAAAAGAAATGTTACCACATTCAGAACCACAGACGAGTCATTGTGGGACTTTACACTGAGTGGAAATGTATAGTGTAGTGTGTTGTTTATGTTTACTGACCTATTCTGACTTGCATTAGGCTTTGTGTAGTGGGTAGAGCTTTACCTCCCTTACATTTATTCCACTGGCCTTAAGGTGAACGCTCCATCTGGAACCGACCAGCCTCCGCTTTCAATGACAAAAACGGGACATATTTTCCACCACGAACGGTCCCGACTGCGATCGAAACCGCTGACAGAGTTGAACAATATGGAGCTTTCACGGCAATTTCAGTTCGATATTTGAGCTCTGATGCATTTAGACGTCATCCTGAAATTCTGGGGTTGCGATCGGGAGCAACAAAAGCCTGACGAATTGTATTTTTTTAAATTTATTTTAAGGCTTACTGATGTTTTGCTTTCACAGATTGAATTCCAGCTAGCAAAACATACAGACAGGCCTGTAAATTCAGCTCTCAGTCCTCTCCCAAGACAAACATGTAGCGCAGTTTGTGTGAATGAAAACAGAAAGCAATTCCAAGACACACCTTATACTCGGAGGGTTTTGTGGGTATAAGCAGGCGGATACTGACATTGCCAATGGCTCTCTGTGTTTGTTTCACACTTTGGTTGGTTTCAGAAAGCCAAGCAACCGAAAGGTGTATGTAATTAAAGCTGCCTGATTTGATATTGGGATTCACGATTAGCGGGAATGATCATTTTTGCACAATTTTTTCATTTTCACTGAAAAAAAAAGCTCTTAAAAATCTCAATGATGTGACATTTATTGAGGTCTGAACCAAACAAACATGTTTTCTTACATGTGGAGAACATGATTTGTAAGCCAGGGCGTCTCTGCAGCCCTACAGTACGTCATTATAATGATTTTCTTTGTCACACATTTTAACTTTTGCAGATTCTTCAATCTAGAAACTGCACCATATTACTATTTCGATTAATTGCACAGTGTAATTTACAGTGTAATAATGTAAACCTGTCTCTTGAAAGTCAGAGGGAGGATTATGACACATTTAGCTGGTTTTGATGTCAACTGGAGATTGAAGTATGATGCGAAAACAAATAATAAAAAGATAAAAAAGTATGCATTCGTTATAGTTTGGGTGAAAGAAAAAAAAAAAAAGCTATAGACGTGGTTACACTCTTATGGGACCGGAAAAAAATATCCATACTTTCATGTAAAGTGGCCACGCATGTCACTTTTCCTTCACTGTAATAAGGACAACAGTATGGAGAAAATCTGTTTACGGGTCTGTCTTTGAAGACAGAGGCTGGTATGCCTTTGACAAACTGGTTTCTGAGCTGTTGAAGCTCTAAAAGAGCATCCTGCTTTTGTTGTGTGCCGCTATGCATTCACGTGGCTGTGTATGTATGTATGTATGTGTGTGTGTGTTTGTGTGTGTGTTGAATCCTTCTATCACACCTCCTTTTAAGGCTTTCAAGCTGCTTTGGATCAAAGTCAGTCCCAGGGGATAATTCAGCATAAACATTGAGTTCAGAAACATCATAGCCTACCTTCACATACTGCTGAATTCAATTTTTCAGACACATTTCAACACCTACTTGATCTTTTGATTCACAAAAAAAAAAGGAGGCCGATGTCCCCCCCCCCCCGGCCAATCGTCTTCTACTGGCATCGATTTGTTAGCTTCATCTGACTTCATCGCCGCCTTTACAAAATAATATGTTTCTCAAAAAAAAAAAAAAAGTTAAATGCTCCAATGCTGAAACTAATGTTAAATTAGGACTGAAGGAGGAGTGTCCCCCAGAAACAAAAACAAGGGCAACGTTCACATCTAAGACTTAACTTTAAGCCCTCGTCTTAGAAATTGCCGGAGTGCAACAGATGTGCCACAGACTAAGTCCAAAATGTATAAACAGCGCAGGGGGAGAGAGAAGAAGAAAGTTTGTTATAATAATGTTAAAATGAACCCCACACTGGCCACGAGATTAGAACAGATAAACAGTACATTAGGCTATACGCATCATCATAATTACCGATAGATATATAGCAGTCGCAGCCACCGCCATCCAGTTTTAGAAACACATTTGACTAAAAGAGAAGGGACAGGAGGAGGAGGAGGAGGAGAAGGAGAAGGAGACCTTTTTCTTTCTGGAGTTGGATTTAAATAAATATTCTGTTTTTTGTTATTTTTTTTCTTTAAAGCCATCTTTCCTCCTGCCTGGTGGGCGGGGGGGTTGGGAAGAGGGTGCAGCCGAGTCGGGAGAGAGGGGGGCTCTATGTGAAGTTCTGGAGGGGCTGGCTGACCCTCATGCACGCCCAGTAGAAGGCCCGAGCCAGGGTGACGAGGACCAGGAGCAGCAGCACGGCCCACGAGGCGTAGATCCCCTGGTAGGTCTGAGCTTTCACCCACGTTCCAGCCTGAAGCGACAGAGGAAGTTTCAGAAAAATCAGATGTTGCTCAAAAGGCCTTTAAAGAGAATTTAAGAGCACATCCTGAGTGTGTTACGGTGATTATAATGAGCCAGCTCGAGTCCAATCAGGCTGAATGCACAGAACCGGAGAGCTAAAGCTACAATTATGCTTCAAAATGTTTTATGCATTTATTATGTGACCCACTTATGTTGTCGCAAACTGTGCAAAATTCCAGCCAAGTATCCAGAGATTTCTACAATTAAAAGATGAACCACTTTTTAAAGCCAGCATTACAACATTTCTTTTTTTTTTAAATCAAACACAGATTCTCTTGTGAGACGTTTCCATGCAAAACAGACTTTTAGGGTATTTTATGTATCCAGTCGGTCATAAATCCACCTGCCCCAAACTGATGCGGTGACTAAATTTGAATGTCTCAAATGCACACATTTCCATGGAAGAGCACATATTCAATGCTTAAGAGTGACTGAGGGAGTAAGAGAGAAAATAGCTTTCCCATCAAGTATTAAGTGTGCAGCTGTTCAGAAGAAAATTATGTAATGAAGATGGCAAAAGTGACTTTGAGAGAACCCACAGGGATTTTCTGAGAGTGTGGAAATATGTATTCCTGTTTCAAAGTCAAAACAGTAGAACAAAGCTAATATGGGTAGAAAAAGAAAATAATGAAACTTCATATAGGGAGCGTTTTTTTCACATATTATTGTTGTACCACTCTCAGGGTTGTTATTAATCCACGTAATGAATAATATTCTTTCCTGTTTTGACACCTGGATGATACACTCGCCTGGGTCAGATGATTCATTCTATCTAGAATGAACCACCAAGCATGTTCAAGACCAGGACTAGACATCCAGACAAGGTTCAGTGTGTGTTACAGCTAGGTTTCTCTAACCATCAAGTCTAAGAGAACAGCTCATTTCGGCTGAAGAAATTTAAAATATGCTTAAAAAACATATACTTCGACTTTAATTTCTTCCCTCTCTGTAATTAAAATGTACAGTTTTAATGATTCAGGCTGCTCTCAGGGACCTGAACATTTCAACTCTGGCTCATGCTGCTGAGCTGGGGACCCACCATGGCTCCTGAATGTTACAGCTCTTATGGTGATGAACCTCCGTAACTACCCTCACTTCCTTCAAGTCCTATGAAACCACTGCCAATGAAACGCAGTCTGCAAATGAAGTTTGATACGTCGCTCGCCTTGGGTTGTTGCCGATAAACTTTATCGATGCAACGTTGTAATTAAACTCAGAACTTGTGCTCTTGTGCCATTCTAATAATTAAAACAACCTTTTTCTTAAACGCAACCTGATCTCATTTTGTGACATTCACTGCCACTACACCTGCATTATGCATTGCCGTCAACACAGCGTATTTATTGTCTGCACATTGCTTACTGTTCTCCTTGCTGGCAGGCACGTATGGATCTTGTGTTCAGTGTGTCTATACTGCAGGGCTCCGTTTCATGCTCGTATTGCACCCTCTGCTGTTTACCAAGCAGAATGTATCGACTATCTAGCTCTTTCTAGTATCTATCCGTGTTTATTTTTAGACTCTGGCACTCAAAACTGTGATCTATAATTGAGAGATTATTCTACTGTTGCACTCTATATTACCATTTAAGGAAGAGCAAGAGAATATAAAATGCACTGTGCATATGACTAGAGTAAGAGTAAAATAAGAAAGGGAGAGCAGACAGCAAAAGCCAGCCAGGAATGATATAATCTGTTCTGATATTTAGTGGGTGTTGAAGCTCATGTTGAAACCTGAACACTGCTTACAGTTAAAGTAGGCTGTGTTTGTGCTATATCTCCCTGACAAATAGAGGCCTGTCACATAGTGTCTGGAGGGCGGCTGCGAAGGTGCACGCCCTCCATGTTAAACAAGCGACAACAAAAGTAGAGATTGTAATCGCACCGCTTCTTCCTGCTACTTTTGTTTTATCTGCGACGGTTAGGTTGTCAGGATATACAATTATAAAAGGGGAGGACAGATTTGGAAAAGATGAGACAATAGTTAAACACAAAAAGAAAAAACGTTGCTGAAAATGTTAATGCCTACAAGCCAGTTATTGATAATCTCTTATTGTATTTGATGGTGTCTGGTGGCGTCCACTCACCATCAGCCCGGCGGTGGAGATGCTGAATAGCAAGCAGAGTAGAAAACACCACAAGCTCCGCCTCCGGGGGTACCTCTGACCAATGGAGGAGCTGCAGGACCAAAAGAGAAGAGAATTAATTTTAATAGGAAATGAAATGAAATAGAACACAATGATATAACACTGTGCAGTGGTGTAGCGGTGCCTGAAGAAGTGTGTATACACTTAATTTATGCCCCAAATTGTTTTTTAAAGCAAAAGATAAACACCCTGTGTTGTCAACAGTGACGTGTAAGAGCACTCTTGTATATTCAGTTTATCCAAAAATGGGCCAAAAGGCACTATGTGCACATTATCACTTAACCTCTGCAGCTTGACTTGAGGCAGAAGGGCTCATTAGGAAATGAACATTAGCCACATACACAAGTATTCCTAATTCCTTACTCCAGCCACTCATCAAAATTTGACAACTATGTCATGCCCTCACCATCATCAGCTCACAGTACACTACTGAATGATGCGCATCAGAGGGTTTTTAGAAGTGAGTATACCCAATGCTATTTACCTGTGTATACTGTGCACTACACCACTGAACTGGTGTTTTTCCTGCAGTATAAGCCTCTTCCACAGCAGGAATTCAGGCTTGTCATAGTATATAGAGACAGGTGTTATTAATAACATTAACGGTTGCTCTGTTCTATTCCAGGTTCCTTGTAAACCGTGACAGTAAGCCCACATGCACAATTGCCCAGAAATTGAAGCGGATAAATGAAATTCGGCCATCCTAAACTGTATTATTTACATACGCCTCCGCTCTTCCTACTGCAACCTATCAAAGTGTATTCTGTGAAAAGGTCCTATTGAATAATAAGGATGGGGGGTTGAAATCAATTTGGCATCTTTTAAAGCAGAGCAACTACTCCAGGATCAATCATTTTAGCTTGTATATTTCGGAAATGTAGAATAGTAGCAGTAGCAGGTAAGCTGATGCTGGAAGCGGGGCTGAAATAACAAATGAAGGATGATGGCAATACACCTGCAGAGATTCAACTTCCAGCAGCCCCTAGCTATTTTAAAATTTGACAAACCCAAGTCTGATGACTTATAAAGCTGTTTATAAAGATCGTCATGGCACACCTGTGTATTGCAGTAATACAACTGACACACTGGTTCATCTCTTTTCAGCACCTTGTGAGGTAAAATGCTCACAAGGTGCTTAAAATAAGAAGTGGGATTGGCGTCTCAAGAAGTGATACCGCATCATATCTCGTTATGCCTGCTAATTCCCATCCTTACAGTCCCATGAACTTTGCTCACCATGTTAAGAAGCTTATGGAGATAGTCCATAATACAGGAATGTGGTTGCAGCAAAGTTCAAGGAAAATACAAGTACAAAAACATAAATGGAGCTAAATCCCACAGGTCAGAAACCTCCTGATGTTATGAGACACATATAAACACTGTTAGGCTGGTGAGGAAAATGTGTTGTAGCACTTGAGGTTAGAGACAAAGTCACAAAAACAGGATTTTACAGGTTTTATTCACACACAAAAAAGCCACTACGAGCTCACTCTTCGTAGATTTCAATGAGTAAAAGCTTCAGGCTTCAGGTTAAGGATGTAAATCTACAGTTAAAAGTACAGTGAGAATGAATTGATGTAATGGATGAACTGCTTATAGCTACTTACACTTTCCTGCAGTGCGGGCACCTGGCCAGCGTCCGGTCTGTGAACTCTGTCCACTGGAAATAAGAAGAGACAGACATGAGACCTTCAGCGTCACCCAGAGAGCAACACACGTCTTTGTCAAATTATTAGTTGTGGTGATGACAAAACCTTCGAGCACCAGTATTACATCCACTGCAATTCTAACTGACCTCGATTCTAACATAAAATACCTGTGTTTCTGGTGCTACATACACTTTGCCCGTAGATGCAGATAGAATTTATTTTTAATTTTCTATCAAAAGGCAACATAAACCTGACTCTGGCATTGCACAGACATATAACAATATACATGCAGGAGTTAAAATGTGTTATTTGAAAAAAGTATGTAAGTATGGTTGTGCAGGAAATAGAAAAGTCCAAATATGTGAAGGTGTTAAAAGTGGAAAGTGCTTGTTTATTATGTGTTTGGAATAAAAGATTGTTTTAATGTGTTTGTCCAGGCCAGAAGGTTTTTATATTAGTGACCTGATCGGAGGCGTACGGAGGAGGTGTGAAGGGCCGTGTGTGTGATGAGGGTCGTCTGCCTGTTGTACTGCAGCAAAACAAACTATCTAATAGAGTAATTGTGCATTAAGGCTGTAAGGTGCTAGAAAAGGTGATGTCTTCAAACGGTTATTTTTCTAACCAACACTCCAAAACACAAACGTGTTCAACCTGCAGTGATATAAAAATGGAGGAAAGAAACACTCCTCGCTTTTTGAGAAGCTGGAACCAGCAAGTGTTTGTCATTTTTGCCTGATAGATGACTTAAAATGATCTTTTGTTGATCCATTTTCTGTTGATTGACCAACTCATTAAATGCCAATTTGACTCAGTCAGCACTACACGCCAATTGATGCAAATGCAAATCTACTCTGATGGCTCCGGTACTTTCTCTGCAAGTAAATGTCTCGTGGAGGCGATGTGCAACTTAATTCCTTGTCGAATTACAGATGGTCTTTAAATTGGACCATAGATTTAAACACGCCTGCTGCTGCTGCATGGCCTGATGATATATTTTATGAAATTCAACACAACCATCCCAGTTCCTCGTCAACATGCGCTGCATAGCATCCAAAAATGAGAAAGAAAAATAGTCTTCTTTCAGGGTGCGGACATTTATCCCCTCCTTAACACTGGTGTGTGATACATTTGTAAACCGTGCAGAGCACAATACACTGTGCATGCTGTACATTATTTTTGCTCTGTATAGGAAGCACAGAGAATATTATCACCAGATCTGCGACAAAGGGATGACTGTGATGCCACCCCGGGCGCAGATTTGTGTTTTCATTCAGTCACCCTGTCTTTAAGCAGGTAGGACAGGTTCGACAGAATGCTAAACACCCCAAACCATCCATCCAACCTCTTTTATAACTCTATTCTTCCCTTTCTCTGACTCTGCCGTCCTATTCTTTTTCACCGTATATCCAGAACATCTTTACCTGTCTCACACATTGTTAAAGAACAGTAAGTTAAAATTTCACTCCCCCTTTAGCACAGAATGGCTCCAAATACATCAGCAGAGTTGATAGGGTTATTGATCTACAACAGTAACTCAACATTTACTTGGCCTGGTGCTAAGATGTTTTGGCTTTTCAATAATTCACTTCTCTGGCTGTGCTACAGTACATTTCACAGCAGAAAACCTCGCAGGCCTACTGAAACTGTCACAAGATATTTCTGTTACAAATGATGAAAGCTTCGCTCGAAAGCCAAAAAGAAAACGCCAAAGCAGTTTTATTATTTGGCTGTTTAGCATAGTAATGCATCACCTCTTCGTAAACATTTTTATTGGATCTTGGCTCTCTGTAGGGAAGGTGATCTTATTGGTTGTGTCTTATTCATATACACGTAATTTAGAGGGAGCAGAGAGGTGGGGACCTGTGCCAGAGCCTTAATAAACAGTGGTTATACTGATATTGATTGTCATAGAGCTTAATAAGGGCAATCAAATAATGTCTTTTTAAATTGAACCTATGCTACAGATGCAACCACTGTGACACTTCAAATCAAATTCTTTTGTTTTTTAAACCTGAAAATTACAGTAGCTTGCTTTTGAAACTCTGACTGTGTTTCTAGATCCAGTGGGTATTCCCTCAAACTCACAAAAAAACATTTTCACTCAAGTTTATTAAAGGTTTTCTAAGACAAAGAGAGTGTGGTACCAGGAAGGTGTTGCTGCAGTGTCCACAGGAGACGCGGGCTCCAGCTGGCTGGGGGTCAGGACTGGCCGGACCAGGATGAACTGGACCCAGATTAATTATCCTCTTACTATAAAAAAAGAAAGGGGTGGGGGTGCAGACACAGAAAGTCAAAATTCACACCACAAACGACTCAAGATGTTATCCAGCGTAAGTGCAAGCTAATAATCGCTGCCTGAAGTTGGAGCAGGAGCCCCATTTGCAGCGCTGTGGAAGGCATGACGACAGTTTCACTTTGTGGGATGCATCAGCAGCCGGTCCTCTCATTACCAATAACAGTGCTTTTAACTTCCTACAGTCTCAACTACAGTCGCTCAGACAGCAGCACAGAGATGTGTCTGGTTTAGTCAGCATGTCTGGGTTGAATGCAAAACAGTGAGTGGAGGTGAACTCTCTGGAGCAATTTAATGCAGAGGAAAGTGGCCTATGGGGAATATATATACACAGCCTTTTGGCATCACTTTAACTAAATGGATAACCTTGGGTCAACTGTAATGAAACCAGAAATGTTAACAGTTGCACCAGAAACATGCAGAATCCCACTGCTCAACTACAGAAAAAGGTTTGTTGTATTTATTTGCCAAGAAATCTCTGCATCTGTGACACAATATTCACAGTCACAGAGATTTGTTCCTGAGGAGCAATGGTGTGCAATATCATGTGAAAGCAAATTACTGGTTAAAGGGTGTGTTGTGGAATACGTTTTAAAAGAACATTTTATTTTGTTTTTGCTTTTTTGCCCAGTTCATTCATTGCAAACTGCTAAATAGTTTTATGCAAACCTCAATCAGCCTTCTGTCTTTCCTTACAATCTGCACTGGAGCTGGCAGGTGTTAAGACTTTCAGATCTTTATGACAAGATTTTGTGATTTACAGTTTAAAATTATACACATTTACATAGCAGCAGAGAATGAACCAAAAAAAGAAATGGCTAAAAATGTTGCTCTTGCACATTTTATGCCTCAGGCATAAACAAGGAATCTTATCTCTCTAACCAATTACACGAGGCTGCAGCAGCATGATGTTCAGAGGAGCTGCCTGAGCTGCACATTTTCAGTGACTGACATCAGTCTTGTGTGTGTCTGTTTGACCTCTAAAAAGAGTTTTATGGCTTTTTGTTTAGGTAATTGCCTGACAGAAGGCCACTGAAACTTTTCTTTCCTAAACTGCATTTGAACTTTCAGCAACCACATTTACTATAACTCATGAAAGTGTGCTCATTCTGCTCTGATGTTATAATATGAATGAATCTGCTAAGTGTGCATTTGGTTAGCAGCTACTCTGCAGGAAGTTAGTGCATAATTAAAGCAGCTATACGTTGAATAATGTCTTTTAAAAAAATGTTAAAGATTGAAAATTAAACCTAATAATCCCCATTCCTGAGTAAAATGTGGCCCAACACAACACACAATACAGACTGCATAGTACCCATACAGACACCCCTCTCATAATACAAATGATATACTGAAGTCACGATGTGGCTGTTCTAATGAGGCTGTTATTTCCTCATCCAGCTCGCTGAGCACTGCATGTAAACTGCGCTGGAAGCACAGCCTTAATTGAAGGACTGCTGCTCCCACTGCACCTTGTTTCCTCTGCTTCACTTCTCTCTCACACAGACAGACACAGAGCGCTCGCCGTCTCACAGTGGTGTGCACACACACACACACACACAGACTTGGAAAGAATTTCTCACCAATATGGCCGGGGACAGGCGATCCTCTGGGAAGTGACTTTGCAGATGAGCAGACAGTTGCAGGGGCAGCGAACGTACTTCTTCCCTGCTGGGGCATTCTTAATGGGCTGCAGAGGGAGACAGAGACACACAGGAGGAGGAGATAAGAAGACAGTAGAACAACGAATTAGAATAGGAGTAGATAACAAGCCAATTATTCTTGACGGGTGAGAATTAACCAATACTACACAAGGGAGAGAGGTATTGTAGGAGATATTGGAAGTCGCAGGTAAGAAACCAAGGGACAGCATTCATAATGTATTATGATACTGTTGGTGCTTCAGTGTCCCAAACTGCTCAAAACTGCTTGTTGCAGGCATATTTATACAATTATTTTGTAATGTCAACAGATGATTTAAGAGACTTTAAGTAACACATTAAGCCTCAGGTGCTCACTGCTGGCATTTATTGTGAGGGAAAGGACATGTCTTCTCCAAAGCAACAGGTTTATCTAGCACTGCTTCTGACTTTAACACCAGAGGCAAAAAGTAGATAAAGGCTTCAAAAAATCACAGACTTGCATGTGATAAGGTTTGGTCCCATTTTGTAGGCTCCTACAGTTTATTTGAAGGCTTTTTGTTGCGGTCCAATTCATCAGTTACAAAATATCTCGACACAACTGGATTGATTTATACCAACAGCATCCTATTGTACTCTCAGAGTAAATACTGTATGAGGATGCACGACCACGTATACGTCTTGCTGGTGCAGCTTACTGGGTCACATAATACTGCAGGCCACAATCAGCTATCAAGGACACTGTTTGAGCTCACACAGAGAACGGAAACCTTTTTACACAAGTACAACTGAATCACACGCCGTCCTCTGGGCTTAATATAACATTCTGCTGCGTGTCCTGCTGATGTTTCTCTCCGCTGCATCATTAGAGTCGGGCTAACCAGATCATATTGAGTCCTGTACGTTTTTCTGCTCCATTATCAGTTTCACTTACAACAGCTGTGGGAGTCTTGTTTGTATCCGTGCCGTAGGGACTGGGGGTAATGACAAGGAGCGAATACTAATATTACAAGTAATGATTATACGCTGGATTGTCTCATTTCAGTCACCTTCGGTCATCAAAGTTGTCATATAGAGATATATATATAACGTTTATTTACTTCAAATGCAGTCCAACACTGTTTCAGATCAGTGTTCATCCAACTGTGTGGTCACTGCAGGCTGCGGTTTGTGTTGCTGTTGAACTGTGTTGAATTATACAGACATGTGTTTCTATTATTCATCCCCAATTTATATATATATTATATATCATATATATTAAATTTTAACAACATAATGCACAGTTACACAAAACTAACCATTTCCATGCTATAAATATGTGATGTTCTTTGCCGTTAAATAAGTCATGTAACGGTAATCGTTCCCATGTCGCTGCCACTGAGCTGCTCCGCATCGTGATGAGAACCATTAGGAAATCTGTGACAGTGAAATAATACTTGCAACTCCTTATATTGATTGTCGTCCCACCTCAACTGTCATATTAAAACTGGGCTACAAGACATTGTTGTGTCACAATATTTATCAGCTTAAGTAACAATGGGGGCCTGACACAAAGAAGAATGCCCCATTATCACCACTAAAGACTAGAATAGATCAAACCTATCACATAATAACTGCTGTCCCACAGATATTATTATAATAAATAGTTTGCCTTCTATCCACATTCCTGTACAAATTGTTGGATTTGAGCAAATACTAGGGTCTTAATATATGTTTGTATGACACTACCTCTGTAACGCCGGCGATGCATGTTTGCACATCCAGATTAATTTCGGTCTAAATAAAGCCTCATTTATATGATTTATAAGGTTGTGGCAATGATCTATATTTGCATTCCACATATATAATTGTCTACATTTACATACAGTATGCTCCCTCCATCTGTAAAATTGCTCATAATGCCAATTCCTACATCTGGACACATTTAATATTCCATCTGTACAGCGATCTGCATAGCTAATGATGAGCACACGTGGATCTGACATTGACGGTTGCTGAAATTACATGCTGTGTTATCTTTAGCTCCACTCTCCAATTGTCCCAATCATTTCGATCATTTTCTCTGTGGGGTTTGTTTCCTCAAAGAGATGATTAAAGCTTGATAACTAAATTTCACACGTTTTCAACTTTTCATGAATCAGGCGAGTCGAAGTGCAGCTGTGCGTCTGGTTAGCTGCTGTGTCTCGTCTCACCTGACCAGTAACGGTACATTATTTAGCAAATGTATGTGTATAGCTGTCACATTCATTGTAAAACCTGTGTAATTTAAACATAAACATAACAATGAGGCCATTGTTGACATGACAGGTGTGCTCTATCTACTACCGTTGTGGTTAGTTGTTGGTGCTCGAGTTTCTCGACATTTGGACCACTTTTTCCCTCCTGATTTTTCAGACTACCTTAATAGGATTAACATTTTGTAACAATAAACATGTCATATGAACTTACTGGCATATTGGATCGATTTTATGGTATGGGTAAATATAAATCTAATTTATTCTGACCACTGGCATTAAGGAATCAAACACTTTTAGTGCTTTCAGTCTATATCTTAACTGATGGACCTGCAAAGAGCTTAAAAACGACTGTGACTGGACTGGAAGGCCCAATGAATTAGAAAATGAACGAGATGTTTTGGATGACCCAAATTACACCAGTTAGGATGGTATGTGTCCCTGAATGTCTTGGGAAAACAACTTTCTGTTTATTGCTATGAGGGTAACTTTCTGCAAATCTAACTTGGTGGGCAGTGTTCAGGGAAAACACTTCTTTATAATCTAATCTAGAGAGGTTATGTTATAGACAGAAAACCTTTCACACGTGCTTAGCCTCATCTTTAACGGTCTTACATGGTCTTGCCTCATTGAGTCAGTTCATAAAGCAGAAGGATAGTAGGTAGGGCAACAAGGGCAGCTACCAGAGGGGACTGTATTATACAATACAGATGTACCAAGTTTGTGCAAACAGTGTTCTCAGTTAGAGCCACCCGCTACTGGAATAGTCTACCTACTGAATTAAGAGAGTACACTGATTACATAACTTTTAAACATAAACTTAAGACCTGGCTTAAGGTAAACCAAACCTGCAGTCATGAGTAGTCTGACCTCATCTCAGGCACTGCCTTTACATTATCTCATTGTTTTTATACCGCTGAAATGTATTTTTGTATTATATTATAACTGTTGTAGTAACTGTAATAACTTGTAGTCCTTGTTGATACACTGTACTGTACCAATTTGTTATAACCTGCACAGCGAATACAGGTGAAAACTCCAGCACATTTACATTGAAGTTTAATTAATGTGCATTGTCCCTGGTAAAAAAACAAACAAAAAAAAACAATACACAGTACATCTAAAGGATTGGTTCACCCAAACCACAACAAAAAGTTTCATTAGAACTATATTTGACCAGAAAACCCTTTGACAGGGATTATAGGGACTATTAGTGACCTCACTGTGAGCTCTGTGGATTATCTGGAAACAGATGATGCTTAAAATCCAATGCTTTGAGCACCAAAGACAGAAATTACATCCACCTCCACTGTATCGCTGTCAGAAACCTTAGAGACACATGTGTCAAAGCCTGGTTTCAATAAAGCAAGAAGGTCTGTGTGTGTAGACACCACCAGAGGTTCATCAGAGGAAATATATTTTTGTACATTGTGTGAAACTACCCTTTAAAAAGAAGGATACAGACGCCTCCAGAAAACCTACCGTAGCTTCATTGCAAACCCCGCACTTCACCACGTGCTGGTGGATCTTGCCCTCCACAGAGATCAGACTCTGACACACCCTGCAGCTGATAACAGGGGCGCTGCCACTCTCCGGGGAGGTGAGAGGGGAGTAGGGCGGAGGGTCCTCCCCTAGGAGCACCGAGGGCTGAGTCGGGCTGGGGAACGGAGGGAAGTCTGCACAGGGAGGGAGAGAAAGAAAGGACGGAGAGGAGCTGTGAATACAAAAAGTAGTACAACCAGTGGCAAAGGAACGGATTGTTGAGGGAAGAGTTGCGCAATGGACTGAAAAAAAAAGCCTCAATTCCCATGACAAGTGACCTCTTACTTCAAGATTAACAAGATAATAAGATTGGGTCCCGAGGTTGAACTGAAAGGAGCTTTGGAAGGAAGAAAACACTCCTGGAATGCGGAGCGGGGTTAGTTTTCAACAAGTAAGAGACTAAAAGTGTCCGTGAGCGACGGGAAAAGAAATGAGAGAAGGATGTGAGTGAGTCAATGGGAGCGTTTGATGGAGAGATCAGATGCAACATTTTCTAGAATCAGTGTTTGGAGCAGATTGTGGGAGCAGAAACATAATTAGGAGCCACATCTCATGCCTCCCCCCCCCCATTAATGGCCTTAGACACAGCC